TCCCTGCGCGGTCGCACGCCTCGTCGAAATTGAGCCCGAACTGGAAATTGTCTTCGATGAATGCCTCGATCCCACTCCTCTCCTCCTCGACCCTCCTCGGCCTCTCCGATTCTCGAACCGAAGGAGAAGGGCGATGAAGGGAAGGGACTAGGAGGAAACAGGAGGATGAAGAGGAGGAGGGAAGAGGATGAGAGATGATATCATGAGTGCGACGGAAGAGGAGGACAAGGAATGAGAGGGGAGGAAGATAATCACAAAACAAATGGAAGAGGAGGATTGAGGAGGAGGGTGAGGAGGAGGAGGGGGAGAATGAGGAGGAGGAGGAGGGGGATGGGGGAGGCGGGGAGGAAGAGAAGGAGCAGGAGGAGGAGGAGGAGGAGGAGGAGGAGGAGGACGGGGGGCCTCGGAGACGGCCGCGGCCGCGGCCGCCATCTGCATGCAGGCGCGCGCTGGCGCGCCCTGGAGCCCGGCGCGGGCCAGAGCCGGCGCTCCGCGCGCGCAGCGCGCGCGCCGCGCTCGAGGCGCTCCTCGCCCCCACCTCCTCCACCTTCCCCTCCTCACTTTCCTCTTCCCACCCATCCCCCCTCTCCCCCTCGGGGCCAATTCGCCCCGGACAGTCCACGGCAAATATGCACTGGCCATGGGTGGGCCGCAGGCGTGTGAACCTTATAAACGCGCTCTTGCACACAGTGTATGTACACATCAATGCACATGTGACCAATATGTGATAGATTTCGGCTATTGAACTGCGAACGCATATTTTTCCACTTGTATATCTGACTTCAACATGATATCAACTATACATATACGTATATGTATATATATATATATGTATGTATATATGCATATATAAAAATATATATGTATGTGTGTCGACTGCAGTCGACCCCAACATAATATTGCATATTGTTTTTTTTTTTGCACGCGCGACGTCATATGAGCGAAAACAAAAAAATATTACGCGTGCCACCCCGAAAACTGAAGGGCGAACACCAATTTCGCACTCGCATATACGAACAAACAATACGTTGCACAGTTCACACTATCAAGCAACATGTAGCCTAACGCGAAAGTGCGAAGCACAACGCTTTTCGCATCGCGCGCAGTGTCCACCCCAGGCAACATGGAGTTCTATATTGTGACGCAGCGTATTTTCCTTATCTCGCGCGCGCCCTGGCGCACGCGCGATAACAAACAATAAAGAATGCACATCTGAATTTCGACAACTGAACGGTGAAAACCATTTGTTTCACTCGTATTCTGAGGGCCTCAGCCTGGAATTTTAAATGTTGAAACATCATGTTTTCCTTATCGCGCGCGCGCGCCCTCTGGCGCGCGGGCAATATATGGGAACAGCGCGATGGAGGCATTGGAAGTGCGAATGAAACAGCTTGTTTCCACAATTCTTTTTTTTTTAGGGTGGCGCGTGTCACCTTGAATTGTTTCATATGGCGCCTTCTTGTTTTTTTTCTGTGTTGAGCGCGCGCGCGACAAGGAAAGCGTTGTGTTTGAGGATCGAGCATTCCACGTTGAGTTCACCAGAATACGAATGAAACAATTGATTTTCACCATTGAGTTTTCGAACTTAAGATGGGCATTGCAGATATGTTGTTGTCGTGCACGCGCCAGGGCGCGCGCGAGTGCGCGCGCGTGCGTGATAAGAACACGTGCTATTCGACTATGTGTATTTCCATGCCAAGGCCTTCATAATACAGGTAAAACAGGTGGCTTCATCATTCAATTCTCGAATTTAACGTGGATGATTTATGTGCGTTATAGAATGACATGCTTACGAACGCTCAAAATGTGTCATTGTCTCCTTTATTTGTGCATCGAGCGCGTGTATTGTACGTGCAGAAGAAGCAGAGTTTCTAAGGCCTGTTGTGATACAGGTTAGAACAACCAAGACATCTGACAACAACCCAAGACATCTGGAACAAAAGCCAAGACAATCCACAAAAACCAATACATTTCGCAGCTATGGAACAACACAAAAAATCGGATGTCTGGCCCCCCCCAGCGCCGGCGAGACCTGCAGGCGGCGCGCCGCGTTGCCCACCGTGGCGTTGTGCGCTGCCACTGCGCTGGCGAAGTCTTGCGTGCCTGCGGCCTGCCTCGCGAGGAGTGCCTCTGCGCTGCCCGTGCCTAGGGCGGCTGCGACCCTTGGGGCCGCGGCGCACCACGCGGCCACGCGCGCGGCCTCTCGCCGGGGTTCGGCCGCGCCCGCAGCCAGGCCGCCGTCGCGCAGCGGCAGGCATGCCTGAACCCACTCCCTGTCCATTTGGGCTTCGTCAAGCAGGCCCCCCCAGAGGTCCCGGAGAACGCGGTCGAAGGCTTGCACAGCCTGCTGGTCCACGAGCTGCGCGCGCAGGAGGTGATTCGGTAGGCATGGTGCTGTGCAGCGGAGCATGGCGCCGGCCTCTTGAAGCCCGAGCCCGGCGGCCACGGCTTGGTGGGGGGTCTGGCCAAAAGCTCGCAAGGCCTCAGTAACCTTGCCCATGGCCCGGGCGCCGCCTCCTGAGCCTGCCGCCAGCCCCTCCCAGTCGTCGCCCCGGCGGTGCGTCAGGTTGCAGCCTAGCACGCGGAGCTCGCCCACCACGTTGGTTTGCAGCGCCGGGGGGCATTGGGCGCTGCCCGGGGAGAGCCGCACCTTCGTCTTGGTCGCGTTCAGACAGAGCCCCCAGGCATTAAGCCAGCCAGAGAGGTCGTGGATGAACTGCTCCTCCTCCTCCTCCTCCTCCTCCTCCTCCTCTGCCTCTGCCTCCTCCTCCTCCTCCGCCTCCTCCTCCTCCGCCTCCGCCTCCGCCTCCTCCTCCTTTTCCTCCTCCTCCTCCGCCTCCTCCCCCTCCTCCTCCTCTTCCTCTTCTTCCTCCTCCTCCTCCTCCCCCTCCTGCTCCACCTCCCCCCCCTCCTCCTCCCCCCTCCTCCGCCCTCCCCCCCCCCCTTTTTCCCCCCTCCTTCACTCGACTATTTTGTCCTTGAACCATCATGCGACGATGTGCATGTTATGTTTATCATCATCACAACAAACCTTTCCTCTCACATGTCGATATCCCTCATGATATCTCCCAATATTCAGAGTCCGCTTGCACCCTCTCAAACTCTTGAACCATCTTATGTAGCTGGAGCGTGGTGTCCACGGACCTTTGGTAATATATATATATATATATATATATATATATATATATATATATACGAAACCTGTCAATATCCACCATCGTAGAATGAAACAAACTCCAAGAGAGAAATCATATCTTCATTCAGCTCCAACGATTCGCCGGGGTCGTTGTAGGCCGTCTCATATTGGTTATCTCCTAGATCTTGTTCACTATAAGTAGCCGGGCGTTTAACTCCTCGGCGTAGGCGTATGCTTCGCTCCTTCAAGTGAATACTCCATTCTCAAGTAGTCAAGAATTTCATGAAAATCGTAGATAGCACCTGCTTCGTCAGCTGGTCGGCGAGCATGACTGTTGTCGGTGAATGAATGATGTTCCGTATCCTTCTGGTGAGCCTATCCTCACGCAAAGCTAGAATACCCACTCGATGATGCCTGTCGTTCTGCAGTGCCTTTGAAAAACAAATCAACTCAAAAAGATTCATGGCGTCTGCGCAGATGTCCACTGGGATCAAAAGCTGCAATCTCATATGAACTTCAAAAAAACCTCGCGCTGTGGGTACTTTGCCATATACTGGTAAGTATTTCAACTCTGTAACCCTCGAAGCAATGCTGTTGGCCATGGCTGCGCACGATACTGCTGGATTTGTCTCCGAATGGGACGTTTACCAGGAAACTCCCTGAGCCTTCCGTGAACTAACTAATAACGGACAGGCTACTCCTCCAAATATCTTAGCTTCCTATCCATATTACTGCTCTTGAGTTCCATGTCCTAGAACTGAGTGTTCCTGTGCTTATAATACAATACGTGCCTCTTGCGGGTAACAAGTGCTGCTCGTAATGTGGCCGCTGTCCGTGACTTGGGCCAATCTTCGCTGGGGTCCGAGGTATCTGACATGTAATCCATTCATTTCCTGTTTTAGTAGTGCCAGTTTGAGAACTCCATTTAAATGATTGACAGGAATCCCTTTTGGGTTAATCATCTCGGCCTGTAACTGCACAATATCTTGCAATATGTCACATCTAGTCTTGATCAGCCAAAGCAAACTCATCAGCAAAGAACGGAAAGACTGGTGTTACTTATCACACAAATCTGCGGTATCTGCTGTCTTTTCCATCAAACTTATCGGCTTCAGTCGTTGCAAGTAAGGCTTCTCATGTAGAAAGAAGTGTACTGAGCGTATCATTTCATGAACTATACCACACCATGTAAAGGGTAATATATGATGCTTCATATTGCCAAACATGCTTTCCACATGCTTTTGAACCAATTCAATTAGCTTCTTGTCCGCCAGAATTAGTAGGTCATCCACATGTAATACGATAGTGCATGTTATATTCTTTGTTTTCTCATCGAACGTATATAAGAAGTTGTCGCCATGCAGAGACCTGTAGAACTTCAGCTCCGCCAGGAGAAAAGGAAGAAAAGACATCTGACACAAAATCGGCTCATCAACCAGTCCGTACATCGCCTTGTTTAATAATAATAATGCAAAATGGCATCGCTCGATATCCTCCACTGTCGTGAACTTGAGAAGTCGCAAAAAGGTCTCCACACGTTCTGGTGGTTGTAGCCGCACCTTCCGTATCTTCTTACATTCATGTCCAAGTTATTTGGCTCTCGCTTCGATCTCTTGAATTCGTGGGTCCCTGCAAGAAGGCTGTCAAAACATCGAAAGCTTCACAGTCCCACATGCATTGAGCTCCCAACGTCATGGCAAGTCGATGTGACAGTGCTGATGCCGTTGATGAATGCCGGCGAACTCCTTTTCTTCTGTACGTCCATGAAGCCTCTGCCGCACATTCTTGATTTGACTACTGGAGGTGAACGAGTCTTCCACTTGCGAACCCACACTGCATCAATGGTATTGACACTAGTGCTAGCCTTATCCAGAGTAAACACTTCATGAGAAACGAAAGAACTGATCTCGCTGCGGTCGCCTATTTCCACATACTGCCAGTACTTGATGACCTCGGCCTCTGTCAGGAAATCTTCTTGAGTCACTGAGAAACACTCGTCTGCCAATATATCGCACCAGAAACAAGTCACCTTCTGCCATGGTCCCGGCACAACAAGAAACGATTCCTGCGCTGTCCAGGCCAGTGTTCCTGACGACGTTTGAGTTAACCAACTCTGCACTCGCCCTACATCTTCAGCTGCATGTGTGATGAAGTCGAAGTCGTCGATGGGTGCCGTTGTCGTCATCTCGTTGATCCTGGAGACCTTGATGCAATACTGGTACCATGAGGAAGGTGCCACTGAGAATAGCTCCTCTGCTGCTGGATAAGGTAGGGTATCATCCAAAGAACCTTCCGGAAATTCAACAGTCTCGTCAGCTACGCCTTCGGGATACTCGACCGTAGGCTCATCAGCTGGAGCTTCTTGTACCTCTGGAGGTGCTTCTAATGGTTCAGGTATCGTCGCTGTGTCCGTTGCAATCGGCGGTGAGGCTGGTGAAGGTCCTGCGCGTGGTCGTTTATCCTGTTCTTGGCCTTGTTGTTGAGCAACTGAAGTTGGAGGTGGATGAAGGTGAGGTAGTATTGGTCCTTGCGATTGGCGGTCGCTTGACTGTCCAACATCTGCTGCTGGCGTTTCTGGATCGAATAGTTTCTTCTGAGGAATCTCATCAATCTCTACCTTCTTGATCTCCACTCTCGTTCTCGAACGCTCGCTCGATATACTCTCCGGTGATTTCTTCTCAACTTCTTGCGGTGGTGCTGGCCATGGAAATGCTGTAGGCTTTTCTCGTGGATGTATTCGTGATCTTGACCGGTCTGATGATGAAAGGCTTGCTGGAGTGCCTGGTGCAATAAGTAGTACTGGGTCAGACATTGGCGCGTCCGGGACTGGTATGTTCGTCGAAGACCTGCTTCCAGGAACTTCAGGCGGGGCTAAATAAAGTCGCGTACGTGATCTATCCAGATCCGGAGATGCTGGCACTCGTGTCGTAGGTGGTGATGGAGGACCGTCAGGTGGTAGTAGTGGTGACTGCGGAACAGCTGGAAGCTTCCACAGTGGTGAAGATATTCTTGACCTCGATCGATCTCCATCTGGAGATGCTGCTCTCGTCTTGGATGCTGCTGGCGCAGGTGGAGGCGCTGGCGGTACTGGCGGCGCCTGCTGCTCCATGCTCTGATCTGGGCTATAAGTCAACGATGGTGTCATGAGTGCGTCATTGTCAGGTACTCTTGGCGGAGTCGCTGGTTGCCTAAGATCAGGAAGCTGCGGAGATTCAGGAGGATCAGGATGATGAACTTATGCTGCTTGAGGTTTTCGAGGTGGTTCCGGTGGTGGCTGTCGCGGTGGACTAGGGATGTAGATGCCACTGTCGTCGTCGAACGGTGCTGGAGTCCACGGTATTGTTGATGGGCTCCACAGTGGGCTAAGGTCAGGATGAACTTCATCTTCCCTGAAATGATCTGGTGCCGCAATCTGATAAGCCAACAAGAAACACCGATCTGCATAGCTGCCCCTGGAAGCCAGCGATGTCCGACTTCCTGGCCTGACATCCGCACTCGTATATTGATCTCGCAACTGGGTGGTCCACTGCATAAGGCGTCCATACTCCACATTCGGCAATGGGTCAGTGTGTCGTACTCCATGTCCAAACTGAATGCCATCAATGTCCAGATTGAGTAACAGCTTCGCTGCTAATTTCCCATCTTGCACTATCTTCGGAGGTCGCTCTGCAACATCTTCTGGAATATTGATGTATTGTTGATTCTGTTGATCCCATTGCCGTCCGTAGGCGTAGACTTGTCCGAGTACGTGGTCTTCCACTTGGTCCATCAATGAGGAAATGAGATGCTTGCTGTCGTTGCTGGTCTTGGTGTCGAGTTGTAGTAACCAGACGAATCCTATATGAGGTTTGTATGTGTCGCAAAGGAACAAGCATTGTTCTCCTTGCTCATACATCAGACCATCTCAGCGGGACCTCGCCATCCACTCTGATCCTTGGCTGATGGTTCTCGCCAGAGATCAACCTTTGCTTCGGGCTCCTCGATCTGCTTCAATGTCTCCGGTGCATACTGTTGAGGCTTAGTGTTGGCGGCCTCGGCAATGCGGTGCTCAATGACTGCCTGAATGATCGCCTCCTTAGCATGAAGCCGTAGACGAATCTGCGACTCGATGGAGTCCGGCTGACTGAGGTTGGCGTCGCTGCTTGCTGAGACTGCCTTGTTGTCCTGATGAAAGAAATCGCGTGGCTCGTATCCAAGTAGTGCTTGGTTTGGTGTAGAGCTCCCGTACACCAAGACTGAGTTGGAACACAGGCATGCTTCGCTGACGCAATCATCTTGACTTTTGCGAATACCTTGTTTCTGTACCTGTGAGTAGAGTTTGAGAGCTGCGAGCTTGACCAAGCCTAATCGTCGTTCTGCAAGACCGGCTCGCGTATGCCCTTCCGATCCTTGAAGGTCGCGTTCCATGTCGTATGCTTCGCAGGCCTTACCGATGAAATCTTCAATAACAGCTCCCTCTTGATCTGAGACAAGAACCTTTGGTGGGCCAAAGTATCGTGCCCAACATCGTAAGAAAACTTGGCGCCAGGTCTCTGCATCCTTCCGTGCCAGAAATTCGCAACAGGCCCAATGAATGGCTTCATCTGCAAAGATGACATACATTCTGCCCCAGAGTGTGCAGATGTCAGTCTGGACTCGACGGTTGAAACGAATCGCTAGCATCGTTCCAGCTGGCTTCGGCTTGGTAAGTGTACGTCTCCATCCAGCACAGATCTTGCACTTTGCAATGGTTGGCTGAATGAGGTCACTGACATGTTTCGGAAATTTGCCTCGCCCAAAGAAGATGACCATCTCGCTCGCAGGTAGATGCCACATTTTGTAGCGTAGTACAATAAGCAACTTCTGAGCCTCCTTTGTCGTGATCTTTGGGTCCTCCAACTGTCGTCGGAGCATCCTGATGTTGAAGGAAGGCTCAATGTAGTCCGGCAGGTCCGCAACTTTAGGTGCTCCTTCGACTCTGGCTTCTGGCTGCGTCGAGTGATTCAGCGGGTGCTGCAGGTGGTGCTACATTGGGCTCTTTCGGTGATGGAGCTGCTGCGGCCGCCGCGTCACTGTTGCTCGAGGTCTTCGGTTCCTCGAATGCTGGTTCTGGGAGAACCGGGACTACCTGTGGTACTGGTGCAGGAGCTGGTGCATGGCCATCTCCGTGCTGTCGAGGTGCTTCTGGATCTTCTGGAGGTAGCGGTGCTGCTGGTGGAGCTCGTGCTGCTGAAGGTGCTGCCGAAGAGGCGTCTCCTGCCTGAACTCCAGCTCCAGCAGGAATTCCGCCAATTGCTCGTGATGGTGCTATGGTATCCTTAAATCTGCAATCTTCGGCTCGAGTATAAACTGGAGTGATTCGCATGTCTGCTCCAGGATATCTAGCCCCATGCTTGCACCTGTCGGGCGCCCAGAAAACCATCAACGCAAGAGCGCCATGATCTCCATGTGCGAAATGCCAAACATCCGCGTTGATAGCAACGCACATATTCCATGGATAAACTGCCGCTGTAGCTGTTCTCCACATATCTGCGCCAGGGATTTTGCCAGAAAGGTCTCCATGATAAGCACACTTGTGTTCGCCCGAACATCTAAGTAGGGTATCTTGGCTGATATGGATGCCGGCGACATCCAAAACCGTCGTCTTCTTATTGGGGGGTCCTCGGCTGTCGATATCCTTTGCTCCATGCTGGCACTGATCAAGCATCGCTGAGAAAGTATTCTTGTTCTTGTGGATGCTTGCGCAAGGGCTCTCTGTGAGTAGTTGTGATCCATGCGGTGTCTCCAAGACAAAAGCCTTCGCACCATTTGTCTCAAGAATCTGTTTGCAGCGGTAAGAAATCCATTGAAGTCCAGGTCGTTCTTCTTGTCGAGCAGTCGCTTTGGTCTCCACCTTGGATGTGGTATTGGCTTTAGACCATGGCGAACATCTAGGCGAGAAGAGTCAGACTGAAATCTGGAACTTGCTGTTGATCTCATCCAGGATGGTCTGGTGTTCCATGAGTGAGGTGCCCCAGCCATATCGATGATCAACTGGAAAAACCTGTCTGTAGGTGTAGATGCAATGCTGCAAGAGAGAATCGCGCTGATCCTGAGCAATATTCTTGAAAATCTAAACCGTGATGTCGTTCGTTTACTTCAGTGTGAGGTAGTATTTGTTGTAGCCACTGAAATGCATTTGTTGGTATGACCACGGGTAACGATGACTGTGTGTAGAATTCCTCAGGCATGCCCAGGTAGTATTTGTTGGCGTCCACCTTGCGTTTGGCACTCCAATGCTGAGGCCAGATATCTGTTGAGAACCTCGGCATGTTGATGGACATCCAAGCCTGATAGAAAACTGCTTTGCGGTATTCCTTGCCAGGTCGAAACATTGAAGATCTCTGAAGTATGGCCAGTCCAAGCTGGGGTGTCTGCACTCGTCTCCTTCTTCCCGCTGTGCTGCCATGCGCCCGGTGAGTCAGGTGCATAGGTCGCGTCCGAGCGATAGGCTCCAGCGCCTTGCTGCGGACTGACCGTCTCTTTCTTCCCACAATGGCTGGGCAGCACTTGCGAGTCAGGTACATAGAGGCTAGTGTCCCTTGCTTGGCTGGACTGTCCGCGCATCTCGTCTAAGATCGCTTGAGCGGGTACTGATGGCGAGGTGGATGTCGAGAGCATGGCCGGAGGTTCAGCTGGGGCTGCCTGTTGACGTGCCAGATTAACTCGATCCGATCCATTGGTAATCTCCATATCCGAGTCTGCGACGTGATCAGGACCACTTTCACCCTCTCGTCCTGACGATAGGGTAACCAACGTCAGGGAACCAGCGTCCATGCTCTTCGACCTCTGCTTGACATACATGTTACGTCCGGTTGAAGTGCGTAGAACCTCATTGAAGTACCGAATGACTGTCTTCCGTAATTTGCTTTGCTCTGCCAGGCTGCCCTTCTCGAACCTTCCAGTCGGAAGTAGGTAATGACAAGAGTCGGTAAGATACAGTTGTACGAAGAAGGTCCTTGGAATCCTCTTCGATCTTGACTGCGGGTCATTGTCCAAGATGCGTAGTAT